TGATTTTGAGGAAACCTCCCTAAAAAGCACAGAGATTGAGGTGCCTGCCTGCTTCCCTGCCCCTCAGGGTGGCAGCCAGCCCCCAGTCTAGTCCTCTGCCAGCTGGAAGCCTGCCCGCCTGCACCTGCCCTGAGGGAGGCGGGGCCCCTCCCGGAGAAGCACATTTTAATTAACTTTCCCGCAGTCACCGGAGAGGCTGGATCATTTTCATAAACAAATGAGAGCCCAGAGCTTTGTCTGCAGCTCCAGTCTGAGTTTGAGTTTGTCGTGCGGAAGGAATTCAAAGCACCCACCAGAGGCCTGGCGTATCCACCTGGGACTCAATATTGTCACTCTCAAGGGAGGCTGGGGTCTGGGATTCGAGGTGGGAGAAGCAGAGGGAGAAAGTATCAGCTGCTGTGTTGACGAACCAAGGCTCACAAAGCAGCTGTAGGAGCCACTGTGTTCCCCAGATTCCTGTTAAACCCTGACTCCCCGGGGCAGCACCAGGAGGTGGGGCTTTGGGAGGTGGTCAGGCCCTGGGGTGGAGACGTCAGATGGGTCAGTGCCCTCAGAAGAGGAGGAGCATAGCTCTGCTCTACCCCGCGAGCAGTGAGCGTGCAGCAAGAAGGTAGCCATCTGGGAGCCAGGAAGTGGCCTCAGCAGACACAGGTCTGCCGGGGCCCTGCCCTTGACCTGCTCATCTGTGAGCCACGAACGTTTGGTGTTCAAGCCTCCAGCCTGTGGTAGTGTGTGAGAGCAGCCCGAAATGGCTGAGTCCTGGGATTTCACGTATTCATTGAGCTCTTAGTTACTAATTATTTACTAATATCTATTCTGTGCAGGGCCCTGGGAGAAGCGGGGTGAGAACAGACTGACAGGTATAATGGAAACCTCCACACCTTCTGCTCAATTGTCTGTGAACATAAAACTGCTTAAAAATATAAGGTCTATTTCAAACCTTTAAAAAATGACCTCCCCCCTGCCCCCGGCCTCAGTGAAGCACACAATCTTCTGGGGGAAAGACAGACATTAAACTGGTTAGTTTCCTGATGTAACTAATGACCAATCCCACCTCATTTTAGGACGGCTTTGAAATGTAATCTCACACACACACAAGTCATCCATTAAGGTGTACAAGGCAGTGACTTTTAGTATGTTCTTGGGGTTTCACAACCATCACCTCAGAAACAGCCCTGAGCTCCCCACCTCACCCCCCGGCCCTGGTGGCCTCTGGTCTCTGTGGACCTGCCTGCCTGGGCAGAGAGCCATGCAGAGAGCCATGCAGCGTGTGGCCTTCGTGTCTAGCGCTAAGCCCATGTAGGCCTGCCCCACCGATGCTGTACCAGACGCCACGGTGACCTTGAAAGTGCCGTGAAGGGCTCCGGGTGCCGTGGTGCCACTGTCTAACGCAGGCTTGGGCTGGCCCCGTGGCTTGATAGTTAAGAGAGCCAGGTCCCACGTGGCTGACCTTGTGGTTTAAATCGCAGCCCTAGCAGCTTGAAAACCGTACTGGGCATGTGCGTGTGTTTGTGCCCAAATCCTTCCTGGGAAGGAGGAATGGGGGGAGGGAGCACTGGGGCCCGACTGTGCCCCACAGCAGGAGTTCTCTCTCTCTCTGGCTCAGGCCAGGTAGGGATTCCTCACCCCAGAAGAACAGAAGAGCACGTGCATTTATGGAAATCGAGGAGTCAAGTAATTCGGGGCTTAGAACTTAAGCAGATAGTAAGTCACTGGGATTCAGGTTACTGGAAGGCTGCTGCGAATTCAGGGTGGGGGACACCCAGATGGGACTTGCAGGATGAGGACCAGGAAGGGGAGGGGCAGGCCCAGAGCAGGGCCTTCCAAGAAGCTGAACCAAGACAGGGAGGAGCCTGGACCCCTGCCGCCCATCATAAGAGGGGTGTGGGCCCGCCTACCTGAAGCCAGGCCAAGTGGGAGCCTAAGAGGCGCAGCTCACAGTGGTCGGGTCTGAGGATGCGAGGCAGGGCTGCCAGCCAAGGGCGGGTCATTCCCAAGACAGCGATGTACACAGCCGTGGTCCCTGGTGTACACCAGCAGGGCCCCAACCTGCGGGAACCAGAGGGACAGAGACACGGAGATGGCAGGAGATAAAATGAGGCCAGGCCTGGCAGATTCTGGCCTGAGCGAGGATTCCCGGAGACAACACCCTGCTACTTCAGGCCTCAGCCCATGGCCTGTGGGCATCAAGGGGGGCAGCATCGGCCCCTCTCAGCAGCGTCCACAGGCCTGGCGGCACTCACAAACCCAGGCTTGTCGGTCCTGTTTATCAGATCTGAGGGGGACTGGAGGCAGCCTGCCGGCACCCAGTCCTGCTGCTTCCTGTGACCTGGCCGATGCCACCTGTTCGGCCTCTCTGCGCCTCAGCTTCCCATCTGGAAAGTGGGGCAATAGCGGGACTGCTTTCCCAGGGCAGCTGTGAGGACCATGCCAGTGGGGGCCTTTGAAGAGCCAGGAATGGTGCACGGGCTCTCGCGGCACCGAGGAGGGAGTGTGCGGGTCCCTGAGCGCCGCCAGGCTCTGAGAGAATTCCTAGGTATAACAATGCCGGGGTCCAGCCTCGGCGTGGGTGGGTTATCTCGACGGAGGCGGCGCTGGAAAGAAAGGAAGACTAAGGCCTCATGCCTTTTCATGCACGTCCTCAGCCCCTCAAAGATCGCTCTCTGAGGAGTGACAACTGCTAGGAATCATCGAGCCTTTTTATTGAAAATGTGATACATGCAAGTAAATGGGTGAGGGGCAGTAAAAGATTTACTCTAAGGAACAGGGTATACAAAGCATGGAAGCAATAATTATAAAACATGCTGTTTGTCTTGTTAGCTCAGGCAAAGTCAATCACAGTTCTCAGGATGAGGAAGTCCATTTGTCTGCTGTATCTTCTTCTTAGATCTTGATTACTGGGAAGAGTCTTTT